GCTGGTGAGGAAGTGTCCCTGGTCACAGTATGGGCAGACGCGTCTCTCTCCGGGCAGCAGTTCTGTCTGCATCACACACACACACACACACACACTCTCTCTCTCTGGGCAAGTTCTGTCTGTATCTGCCCGTCTCTAGTCAGAGTGTGATTGCTCAGTCTGTACCTCGTCATCCTTCTTAAAAGGATTAGTTTAAAGGTGAAAAAATGATGTCATTAATGATCACGGTCCTGTCGTCCCAAGCCCGTTAGACATCCGTTCATCTTCAGAACCCTTTTTTACTTAAATTATTGTATTTTTATATTTTCATAAGCTCCTCACAATAATGAAGACGTAAATCTGAATCGTCTGGTTGTCTGTGTGTTTGATTTGCAAACTCTCTCTCTCTCTCTCCACGATCCATCAGGGCAGTGTGAAGAGGAGGAGTGTGTCGGCCCGTCTCCACACACAGACTGCGGCCGGTCACTAATATGCGGTACCTTGTCATGAGCTTTCTCTGACCATAATTACTAATATTGCTTATAATTAGACTTTATTTTGTGGAAATTTTTTAGTTTATTTAATTGTGTGATTTATCTACCAATTGTGTGTGTATTCTTTTTGGGTTATTTATTTTCCCTATTTCTTTTACTTTTGAATGTCTGAACTGAATTGTTGAATTAATTTGATGTTTCTCTCTCGCTCTTATAGATTCAAATAGCTTTATTGGCATGGTGAAAGACATCTTTACATTGAGCATTCATAACACTATACAGTACAAATAAATAATTATAATTATTATTTTTTTATACATGAAAATAAACTTTGCAATAAAAATCTTTAATCTTCTAATATTTATATCAGTGTCACTAGGCGTATAGTTGCCGGAGGCTCTTTCGCCGTGACATGACCTCTCACACACACACACGCACGCACGCACGCGCACACACACACACACACACACACACACACACACACACACACACACACACACACACACACACACGTCCATATTTGATTTCTGATGAAAGTTCTGGTAGGTTGTAAAAAGGGGATAGAAAGTGTCCATAATAATGTTTGTATAATTGGCGCAGGATGTCAAAAAGGCTTTGGATGAGATTGTATGATTTGTAATGACATGATCATAATATCACAGTCAAAACAAAGTTAAGCAGGTATCATATAAATTGATAAATAGAATATATCCTGTAAAACAGTACTTTATACAATTTAAATGTGATATTGATGTTAATTGTACCTTTTGTGACAGTTGCCCTGAAACTGTGGTTCATTTATTTTGCCATTGCCCATTTGTTAGAGCATTTTGGCAAAGTGTCTGTGATTTCATCACAAAAACATTGATGACCAATTTATGTTGTTTTGGAAACATATTTTATTTGGTATTTGGGAAGACTTTGTAATATCTATGTTGTATGTTAATTTTGCTGTATACATAAATGTCAGAACTAAGATTGTGCTTAATAAAAAAAATTAAAAAACGGGAAGAGGAACTCACACAGTCAAATGAAACACTTTACAACACGGTTACACAGTTAACAATATACATTTTAAATCAAATAAAAAGTAGTTGTACTGTATATCGTTGAACTAACAATGAACTGTGTTTGTATTCATTAACTTAAAACATGATTACACACTAAAAAATGCTTTGGGTCAAAATGTTGGGTTAACTCAACATTTGGGTTTGTCTATATTTGACCCAAATTTGTGTTGAAACAACCCAGCATTGTTGAGAGTGTAAAAGGCAACAGTTTAAAATATTGCTCATTGCACAAAATGACTTTACGAAAATTATCGTTCTTAAATATCAAAATCCATGTGAAAGTAGCGCATACCTATTATTCTTATTATTCATCTTTTTATTATTATTTATTTATTTAGTTTTATTTTTTTTACTTCTATGGGATGTTGGGTAAAGTAGTGTTCTCTATATTTGTATAATTTTTCTTTATTCATGGATGTAAAAAAAGCAGGTTGTGATGTTTTTCATATATGCCATGCACATATTGTCTTTTAAAATCTGATAAAAAAAGAAAGAAAGTAAATAGTTCATGCCTAATAAAATAAAATGCCATGTATACGCTGTTGCTGGCTTCTGGCACTGCGGTTCTGCTATGTGGTCCGGCTGGTCATATGATTGCAACATCATCCCCCATGATATAGGTGACCGGTTATAATATTTTTAGTGATGTATTTTGTGATGACAGCAGCAAAAATGGCACTGGCTGGTGATAGTTTTGTGGTAAAAATCAATAAAAATCAATTCTCTGAAAATCAATTGTCTTTTAAAATATGCCAAAATCAACAAGGGTGCTCTTCATGCCCTTTAACTCACTTTCTCTTTCCTCTCTAGCATAGTGTCTCTGTAACGTCTGGAACTTTAATGCTGGTCACATTTTAGTCATAAGGGTAGGAATCTGGAGCAGAGAATCGAATCACGGCACAATGCACAGCTGCTAACACAGCCCTCTCTGAGCACACACTGATAAAAGAAAAACGCTGATCTAAGACCAAATCTTCCTCTGTCAATTCTGAACTTTGTTATTATCCATTTAAAGGGGCAGTTCAAATGTCAAACTTCTGTCATCTACTCACTCTCATCTTTCTCTGTGGAACACAACAAGAGATATTAAGCAGAATGTCCAAAACATATGTGGAGATTTGGCATGTCAAGCTTTTAAACAAAAGCCATTGAAGTTTCAAATGCAATCCATATGACTCTCAAGCTAGATTACAGCTCTTCTGAAGTCATACAAGAGGTTTGTGTGAAAAACAGAGCAAAATTGTGTTATCTTCATGTACTGCACGAAGGTTTGCTCACAATGTTTCTGAACAGCAATGGTTTTCCTGTCTCTTGACAGCTAATTTGAATATGCACGGCAAGAAAAAGCTTCACACACACACACACAGTGAGACGATTGAGACGTTTCCGTCGTCCTGAAGAGTGTTGTGTGTAAAAGCCTGAAATAAGTCTCTGTGGTGAACACTAGTGTATTTCTCAAGTAGGGCTGTCGAACGATTAATCGCATCCAAAATAAAAGTTTGTGTTTACATAATATATGTGGGTGCATTTTGTATAATTATTTTGTGTATATATATATATATATATATATATATATAAATACACACACACGCATGTATATTTAAGAAAAAATAATATTTATATATAATATAAATTATATATAAATCTATATACAGTATATACATGAAAATACTTCTTAAATATATACAAGCATGTGTGTGTATTTATATATATATATATAAAATAATTATACACACTACACACACATATATTATTTAAAAACAAACTTTTATTTTGGATGCGATTAATCGTGATTAATCGTTTGACAGCCCTATTCTCAAGCTTTAATCTACAACATTAAATACATCATATCATCCTGTTGTGTGTGTGTGTGTGTGTGTAAGGAGTTTGATAACAAGTGTCTTATTGGAACTGGTTATAAACATCATAAAACATCCTCAGATCAACACTTTCAGTTTATAATCGCCCACAAACTATTACAACTCAAACTTTGATATGAAGTGTGTGTGTTTGTGTGTGAATGAGAACCATTGACTTCAGGGATGGAAATAATGTGTTATTGAAATTTCCCTGGTATCTAACATTTTTTAATTTTATTATAGTAACCTTATTTCCTTATACCTAATTGATATATTTTGTTTTATTTAATTTGTCTTTTTTTTTTTGCTAATTAAACCACAAGTGTTTCAGAGTGAAGCCCGGCACTATAACATTAATCTGGGAATGCAAATCTAAGTTTATATTCCTAAACCTTTCCTCTCAGCTATGTGTGTGTGTGTGTGCAAGAGCTAAACTATGCCACGTTAGAGACGGAGCAACTCATGTAATTAACTTCCAGCCAGATTATACGTTTTGGACACGAGCCATAAGAGAGAAAAAGAACGAGATAAAAGAGAGATGGACAGCTAAAATGAGAAAGACAGAGACAGACAGCATACCTTTCCGAGACTGAGGAATGTTGGTCTGGTCTGTAAGTGTGTGTGTCTGTGTGTAGTCCCTAAAGACAAGCAGCTGCAGGCATGCAAACTCAGTTTTCAATTAAAGTGCCAGAAGAAGCTGAGAGAACAAATAGAGTATCAGAGCAAGCCAGACACAACACGTTACAGCGAAGAAGGAAAGACACATTAACAAATAAAAGGGTCAAATAAAGTGCATCAATACACCTGAAACGAAACTAAGATAAGAAAATATTGTTTCTTTTCAAAACCTCAGCGATGTCAAGGCCACAACCAACCCGTCCGTACAAAAGGTCTGTAACATAGACTAAATATATTACGGGACTGAAAATTCATACACCACAATGTTTACATGATACTCCAGGGAATATCATAGTTTTATGATGTCCAAACTAGTCAAATCAATCAAGCAGAGCCTGGAGCAAAAGCATGAATGAAACTCCAGACACCTGTAAAGTAACTCAACAGGTTTATTCATGAATTCAAGAAGCCACAAATCATCTCTTCAAAATAATTCAAGGACAATCTAATGGATCTCAGTGCGAGTTCTCTTAAATTATTCGAATATAATGTCAAACAAAAACTAGATAAACAGTTGTTGAACTATGACCCCCAATAGGATCCTGTATATGACTTCAAAAGGAAAATATGAGGGTGTTCACTCTCACTGTGATTTCCTTTACATTATTATGATACAATACAAGCAGGTATTTAAACACAAAAATAAACTTAATTCTTACAGGATGGAAAATCAAGTCTATTTGAGTCATATACACAACTTTTGGACAAACTGAATTCTAATGTAATCAAATATCCTACTGGATACACTTAAATTCTGAACAATAAAGTGGAAGATATGAGTAAGGCTCAAAATCAGTATGAAAAATAATAATGAAACAGTCACATAATGTAACGTTACAGAAACATAGGCTATAATAACGAAACAACCTTGAATGTTTGTGAATGTGAGCTTCGCAGAAATAAAGACATTTACCACTTACCAGTTCTGGGTAGTTGCTTATTTAAGCCACCAAGTCGTGAAATTAAATCCTGAGGGAGTTTCAGAAGAAAACGGATTTATTTTTAATTCGATTCCAGTGTTTTTCTCCCTGATGAAACAGCGGCTCGTGTTTCTCCACCTGCTGGATCACACGACGACCAACAGCAGGAAAACTTGGGTGGAAGTTTTTCCGTCCACTGGAATCCGTCCACACAAAAGCCAACGAATGTCCAAAAAGAAGCAGAAAGCTAATTCTTCGTTTTCTTCCCAACACTGAAAAGTTGTTTATTACACTCCCGTATATAAACGCGACCCGCATGCGTCCATTTAACGTGTGGCTATCCTAAATCTCCGCACTTGAAACAAACAAACAAAAAGCTTTAAAACCAAGAGACGCGTTCTCGTCAGCGAAATCTAACACTATTATGAATGATAACAAAAAAATTTTTGTACTCTTAAGGACACTGACATATCTTTCTAGATGAAGACGGATGAATTAAAGTATCACCGGTGTGTGAAAGTTTAGAGCCCTGTCGTCACTCTTCCCAAAGATCAGAGCATGACGTGAGCAGACTCAGAGAGCAGTTAAAAGTCCTCCTCGTCTGCAACATCTTTTTAATTTAACTGATATAAATAAATAAAACTCGTTTTCTTTGGCTGATTAAAAGTTCTATTCGTCTGCTACATCTTTCTGATTTTATTTTAAATAAATAAATAACCATTTTCTTTGGCTAACTAAAAATCCTGCTATTCTGCTACAAAAATGTTCTTTGGCTAATTAAAAGTCCCTTTCGTCTGCTATGTCCTTCTAATTTAATTGAAATAAATAAATACAAATCTTTTTCTCTGTCTAATTAAAAGTCCTGTTCTTCTGTTACATCTTTCTAATTTTATTCAAATAAATAATACATAAAAAACATTTTCTATGGCTGAATGGCTATATATATATATATATATATATATATATATATATATATATGATGGTGTATTAGAGGCCTCCTCTCACGCGCAGTCATGATGTCAATAGCGCGAAAAAACTCTTATAAAAAGTCTATCGTTTTTCTAAGAGATATTTTCATCATATTTTAGGTCTCATATTCCTCATAAGCTAACCTATTTCAGCCGTATATCGCTTATATATAATAAACGAATACAATACACGTTTAGTCTAAGATTAACTTAGTGTTTTTCTTGCTAATTTACACGGTTAAAAGAGATGTGGACCACGAAATGTCTGTCACCGCAAACTGAAGAGGAGAATTTTGACCCATTTCCGCCTTTCGCAAAGTAAGAGTTTCTGTCAAAAATGACAGAAAATAAAGCAACATGCACTGTAAAACAATATTTTTTCGAAGTTGTGGATAAAACACATTATTGGAGTACGCTTTTACAAGAAAATTTCAAAAAATCAAAATTTCACGTTTAATGTAATGTGTTACCTGCCATCTCTTTATAACACAATTTACGGGCAATTTCTGAGGAAAAAAATGTTTCTAAACCAATTTTTTCTAAACCTAACCAACATATTATTTCTGGGCATCCCGGTGGTTATGTTATTTTGCCATCTACAGGCGATCAAAGGAAGTCAGTCGCCACCGTGAGGAGAGAGGACCTGTGCAACCTCAATATGAGCCTTACTGGGGACCAGATGTGCCAGTGCCATGGTAAAACTGTTCATTCAATAGCCTTATCTCAGTGTTAAAAAAAAAAAAAAAAAAAGCTTTGGACATCTGAATGTGTTTGTTGTTGGCAGTAAGGAGTCCTTCAGATATGAACCCTTTCTTGATCCAGGCCTGTTTTCCACTTCACACGCTGGGATGGTGAGTAACTAGAAGTCAGATGATGCACCTGTAACATCTTTATTTAAGTCATCACAAACTTAAACAAACTCTGTTCCCTTCAAATGTGTACCTGATGTTATTGTGCTCTGGGGGAATCATAGGCCGGATATTCTATTTAATTCTATTTAAAATGTACTTTAAAGTAAAACTTTTAATTTGACATTATTAAAAATTGCACTTAACACTTAAAAGTGTCATGAAAGTACACTTAAGTGGTCTACATTATTTAATTAATAATATATTATTTGCATGCAGATACAATTTTTTTACAATGTTCTTCTTACACGTTACATGTAGTTACTGTATTAATAACTATAAATTGTACATAATTACACGCAACTAACATTAACCACACCCTAATCCTGACCCTAACCCTATAAGTATATTTAATTCCTATTAGTGCTTAAATGTATAATCACACTGTAAAACAGACACCTTAAATAAAGTGCATCTGGTTGTTTTATATTCTTGTGTTTAAAGTACACTACAAGTTCACTTTTACAATACCATTAAGCACTTCTTTTTCACACGGATTGAAGAACTCTGGAAAGGAATAACCATCACTTTACTATGGTAAAATCACATCAGCTGCTGTAAACTCTTTCTTTCAGGTGAGCGGACATAACGGACTGAACGTAGGCCTAACCCATGAGAAGCTGCCGCACCCGTCAAAGCTGATGGGTAAAAAGAAGAGAGATCAAGGTCTGCTGCAACCGACTGCAAACGTTCTCAAACATATTGGAGAACTCAGGATGAGACAGCGTCATATAAATGCGTAAGAGAGAAAAGGATTGGAGGGAGAGGCATTAAAGGAGTTCACTTTCAAATGAAAGTGATTTACTCACCCTCAAGCCACCCTAGTGTATATGACTTTCTTCTTTCAGATGAATAGAGTCAGAGTTATATTAAAAAATATCCTGGCTCTTGCAAGTTTTATAATGGCAGTGGATTGCAACCAACAGATTGAAGCTCAAAAACGTGCATCCATCCGTCATAAACAAACTCCAAACAGCTCCTGTGGGTTAATAATGGGCTTCTATAGGATTGAAACTTGCCGGCCCAGAAAAGTTATTACATCGTTAAAAATAGTCCGAGTGACAGTGGCTCAATCTTAAGTTCATCAAGCGACGAGAACACTTTTTTGTGCAAAAAAAAACAACAACAAAAATAACGACTTTATTCCACTATTCATTTCCTTCTCTGTGGGTCTGAGTGAGTTCACGTAGTGTAACAGCGCAGCTCTTTTGTGTACGTCACACGGAGGCTCACTATTGGCCGACGCTCACTATTGCTCTTAAATCTCAGATTTAATAAAAAATATCTTAATTTTTGTTTTCCGAAGATGAACGAAAGTCTTAAGGTGTTTGAATAACACGAGGGAGAGTAACTACTGACAGAATTTTTATTTTGGGGTGAACTATCCCTTTAAGTGGAATCCGTATGTTCATTTGGCCGGAAGCTAGTTATTTTACTTTATTAAGTTTTAAATATGAATATTCTTCATACACAAACTCATCGTTTTGCTTCGGAGGGCCTTTATTAACCCACAGAGGCCTTGTGAAGTTCGTTTATGGATGGATGGATGGATGCACGTTTTTGAGCTTCAATCTGCTGGTTGCAATCCACTGCCATTATAAAACGGACGATTTTATATTATTTTTTAATATAACTCCAATTCCATATACACCTAGGATGGCTTGTAATTTTAATTTGAAAGTGAACTACTCCTTTAAGGATTATAGCATATGTGATAGATGAGTGTATTCCAGGTTGAAGGGGGACAGATGGAGGGGTGCCACTACTGTGTCCAGCCCAGAGGAGAGCCGAAGTCCAACCGAGGCCGGGAGCGAGCAGCTTCTTGGTCTGACTGCTGAGATTAGCTTCAGTACGAAGCTATTGGACAATCCTGATCTGACCATGACAAAGCCTTATGAAGCTGCTTCCTCTCTGACTCATCAGGTAGCATTTATTTGCTGAAAGGGAGGGTTTTTTGTGTCATTATTGTAAAAGGACCAAGTTTAGCCCACATACACTATAAAAATGCTGGAACTTTTTTTTTGGTAACACTTTACTTGAAGGGGTGTGCATAAGACTGACATGACACCTTCATAACCATGACATGACATATTATGTCTTGAATATGAAGGAGGTTTCATGCATGTTTATGACAACTGTCATTAAGTGTCTTTCGCTCAATAATGACATTTTGAATGCAAATATGACATTAAGATGACTTTGTTATGACATCTTGACATAAACCAATACATCATAACCTGCCAGTGTCTTAAAATTAAGTTAAGCTTAAGCTTTGACATTGGCTGTCATGAGGCCATTATAACTGTGTCATGAATATTTTTCGTGACCTCAACTACAGTGGTACTAATTGAATTTGTCATTAAAAAGTTATAATGGCTTCATGACAGCCAATGTCAAAACCAACCACATGATGTAATGCACAGTTTAATGTAATGTTAACCAATAAAGCTAGTTGATTTCTTAAGTTTGATAATTAATGTTTATGACAGGTTGTGTTGTCTTGGTAATGTCAAGGTGTCATAACAAAGACATCTCAAACAATGTCATATTTGCATTAGAAATGTCATAACTGAGCGAATGACACTTAATGACAGTTGTCACAAACATGCATGAAACTTCCTTCATATTCATTACATGATTGTGTTATGACTTCAAGTAAAGTGTTACCGACTGCTGTTGTGCTCGAATAAAGTGATGAAGTGACCGAAGTAAAAAGTAAACTAGAAATTTTCTTTTGTGTGTTTCCCAGCAATACTTATTGAGAGGATATGAGCAGTTTCTTGACCTTGCTCCAGGAGGGAACCCCATGATGGCGTTTGTTGCAGGAACGAGCCATAGATCGCTCCTGACGGCTGATGACGCCATGGTGAATCCTACGGGATCGGATGAGTTCCTCAGGAGAATTGAGGATGAGATGAAGCTTATTCAAAACCTTCAGTTCTTCTAAATAAGCTTTATCCTGTTTGAGCCATTTAGGCATAGTTCTATGATCAACCTTGTTCCTCTTAATACCTACAGTTGTTAAGTCTTACAGGAATTTTATGGTTGCAAATGTTAGAGGACTGTGTTCATGAATGAGTTCATAATGCTCTGTCAGAAAATTGGTTTAACATTTCAAGTGTGGGAGGCATTTGGCTGATGAATGTTACAGAAGAAGACCAGTCTGCTTAGTTATATGCAAATTAAATGTTAAATGTTTACTGTATTGCCATTTATGATTTTGAAGGTGTCTGATCAATCCAACAGATAAACAGAGAGTCAATAATAAAATTAAAAATTGGATAAATCTTTTTTTGCACTTGATGGCTATATTGTTTGTAGCCTATGTAAAGGGATAGTTCACTTTTAAATTAATTTTTGGTATGTTTTATCTTACCTCAAGGGCATCCAAGATGTAGGTGTCTTTGTTTCCGCAGAAGTTTAAATATTTATATTTTTAGGTCAAACCGTTCTTGTCTATCAGTCCTATAATGGAAGTCTATGGTCACCACCTCAAAGAGCATGCACAGAGAAGTCGAAACGAAAGACACGAAACGAGCGGTTTGTGTGAGAAAACGAACAGTATTTATATCGTTTTTAGCCACAAAGCTCCCGCGGCCTCAGATCACTTGGACGTGGCTGTGGTTGCAAGAGGTAAAAACAATATAAATACTGTTCTTTTTTTTTCACACAAACCGCTCGTTTCGTGTCTTAGGCCATTTATGAGTCGTTAAATCATGTTTAATTTGGACTTCTCTGTGCATGCTCTTTGAGGTGGTGACCATAGACCTCCATTATATGACTGACAGACAAGAGCGTTTGACCTAAAAATACCGAAATTCAAAATACTGTGGAAACAAAGACACCTACATCTTGGATGCCCTTGAGGTAAGATAAAACATACCAAAAATTAATTTCAAAGTGAACTATCCCTTTAACTATATATTTCTGACCTGTGCCATGGTAATATACCATGCTGTACATGTACCAATAGTATATCAAATACTATGGTGCATAATTATATAGGCCTATACATACATTCACACGCAAATGTTTCATTATTATCAAGTTTTTGGGAATTAAATGGCACACATATTAGGTTTTGTAATCCGTCAACACGTGGATGAATCCTTTAAAAAAAATCCCTAAATGAAAGCTAATGGAATCCTGGCATACTAGCATGATTATGATCCTATTATTGTTTCCAACTTAGGATAAATGTCCATACAGGGAATTAACCGATGTGTTGACACTTGTTTCCACTCCCACTGCTTTCACATGTCTGATGATGAAAGTTGCGAAACCGAAAGTTAGCGGATCAATTGAAAACGGGAATATCACATCAGAGTTTACAATGAACAACCACAATATGCCTGCGTGTGTTTGGAAGGTGGAAGTGTTGAAGTGGTTTCTCGTGTCCACTGTTGCCTGCTGCACCTGTGTGGGTGTGGTGTATATACAGTGGACACACATTTGGACACTGAGGGCTGAAATGTCTGCAATAACGCAGCGGTTCAGGCCTCTGGAAACAGCGTGGACAGAAACTGGGATATGCTGCGATTGTGCCGTTTTCTACGGGGTAGGTGAGTGCTTTCATTCATGTGCTATTTTAACTGCCTAACTTTCATCTTTTACTTCACGAACAAAAATAGACTAGCCTACCACTAATGTACTGTTTTGCATCCTCTTTATACCAAAGTATGCTATTTTCTGAAGAAACTTGACATTCGGTAATGTGGTAAATATAAAAGTAAGCTATTGATAGCCTACTTAAAGTAGGCCTACCAAATAACCATGATATCAATAATATGATAATCATTCTGCATTATACAAAAATGTACTGTGGGCAGATGGCAATAACATAGCTTACTTTGATGCACTCCTGCTTTTGTAGGCTATTTACATGGTACACTTTCAAGAATACCATGGAGTACCCTATCATTATATCCTGCATTAAAGGAGTAGTTCACTTTAAAAAAAAAAAATTTTGCTGATCATTTACTCACCCCCATGTCATCCAAGATGTCCATGTCTTTCTTTCTTCAGTCGAAAAGAACATTTCAGGATATTTCTCCATATAATGGACTTCATTGGGTACCAAACGGTCCAAATGAGAGTTTCAGTGCAGCTTCAAAGGGCTTTAAACGACACCAGATGATAAATAAGGGTCTTATCTAGCGAAACGATCGCTCATTTCAAAAATAAATAACAAAGTTTAAGTTTTATAAGCACAAATGCTCGGCTTGCTCTGTTCTGTCATGCGCGTTTGTGACTCTCCTGTTCAAAATCGTTCATCAAAATCTTTTCGAGTCGTTTCGTTCAAATGAGCGATCGTTTCACTAGATAAGAGCCTTATTCATCGTCTGGTGTCGTTTAAAGCCCTTTGAAGCTGCACTGAAACTCTCATTTTGACCTCGAACCGTTTGGTCCCCATTGAAGTCCATTAAATGGAGAAAAATCCTGGAATGTTTTCATCAAAAAACTTAATTTCTTTTAGGCTAAAGAAAGAAAGACATGGACATCTTGGATGACATGGGGGTGAGTAAATTATCAGCAAACGTTGATTTTTTTTTAAGTGAACTGCTCTTTTAACAAATATTGTTTCAGCATTTTTCTGGAATTTATTTGTGCAACTGATTTCACTT